GCTTGTGATAATGATGGATTTGCAGAATCGAAGGTAAAGGAATATGCCATTCCTGCATTACTGCATGCCAAACCACTATGGAATAAAAATAAAATAATTATAAATAAAAAGAAATAATAGTATTCTCAATATATATCATATTTGCATTAACATAATATATAATTCAAATATGATGATATGTATTAGTAAATACTTTTTTTTCATAATATGTACATATATATTATGATGGTGCATGTGGCTCCATATGAATACGATTTACTTGTAATCAGTGAGTCACAGATTCGTTTCCAATCATAATCACACTATATGTATATATGCACACATACACGCACACAAGTAGAGGGATTCTTACCATAGGTCACGCGCGAAAGTATAAATGTGCTGGAAACAGTGAAAGACTTTTTCTGCTCTCGTTTCTTGTTCTTGGGAATTTTTCGCGATGCCTATTTTGTCGTGTAATTTTTTCAGATCAATATTATCGAAATATTTTTTACATTTTTTCTTGAGTTCCTAAAAGTATGAATTTTTTTAACTCTGTCTCATAATAACAAAATATATTCAAATATAAAAAAAATTGTTACGGTAATAGCATTAAACGTTTCTGTCAAGAGATCATAGTGCTTATCTGTGTTAACCATTTGTACTAAATCACTGCACTTTTCTATAATATATTCCATATCTCGCAATTTTCGACCACCAGCTAAAATATCAAAATTAAATACTCAGTTTGCAAAATGTAGTTTTTTAGTAGATTATATGTATATGAATATACCTGGCGTATGTTCAAAAGTATCGAGTAATTCCTTGAGAAGACATTCAGCATCACGTCTTTGGAATGATTCGCTAATAGCAGCAATCCAGTGCTTTATAGCACACTTTAATGCAGTTATTGTAGTCCACGGTGGCTTTATAATGACATATACGTGCCACTCCGCTTCTCCATAAATTTCTGACATTTGTTTTGTAATAATCTGAAATAAAAATATTGGTTTTATATATTTGATACATAGGCGTAAAAACTGGTTCATGATCTAATAGTAAGATGCATACTGTTGACAAAAAGTTTTTCATAATTAATTTTGTATCCTCAAAAATATCATCCGTCAAATGTGATTCTTCCACGAAAATAGATCTTTCATCAGGATCGTCACTCAAACGGTTGACTGCTGCATCCGTATCAAGGTCATCTATTTTTTCAAGTGGATCATGACGTCCCAATGCCAATATATTATATATCATCGCCTTAGTACAGAGATTTTTGTCATAAGATAATAAGACCTACAAAATAAGAATAAATATAGCATTGTTATTCTTTTATATATAAATATGTTAAATAACATGACAGAAAGATAACTTGCCACTGATTTTTGTAATTGAGAGATTTGTAAACAACACTGAAGGATCTCATCATCTGGACAATTGAGAGAAAAATCTTCTTGATTTTTCGCTGCCTGTTCTCGTGTTTGTCCTATGACACGTGGATGTTTAGAGGAAAATTGCTTGTGGATGAAAGATATAGCTTTCCTTGCTTTTATCGATAATTCATTATTAGCTCCATTATCTTTAAAGTAATCTAATTCCTGTAAAAAATTCTTGTAAAAATTATTTAGAAAAAATGTGTATGTTAAAATTTTTAAAAAGATAGAATTTTGACTATACTGTACATTATACTTACACATATCACAGTCCATGGAATTACAATAAAAGGACGTGGGTAATTCTTAAATACTGCATCTTTCGCTTCTTCAACAATTTCAAGGTTTGATAAAAATACATTTGTATCAATAACAATGTACAGTGGACCTTTGGCGTGTGATTCTGTATTATTAGATTGCGTCAACTCTGCAGCATTTTCTGACACACAATTTGTTTCATCTATACGATTTTCTCTACAAAGTTGTGTTCTGACAACTTCCACCTATACTAAGAAAAAGTATAAAAGTATAAAATTTAATAAAAACAATATTTTTTTATAGTAACTTTTATATAAAACAAAAATTGTCAATATTAAACAAGATATATAATCACACTGGCAAAATATATTCATATAAGTTATGATTGCTTAAAAAATATGTCTCAATTATATTGATTATACCTGAAGAGCAATTTCTTCATCTTTCATTGGTTCCCAATCCATTTCTTCATATAAAACTTCTTGCTCACCCCGTTCTATCAATTTATCCTTTGTTGTATTTTCAGTCTTATTTGATTTTTTTGTTTGATCATTTTGTTGAGTTTGTGAATCATCATCTTTTAATGTATTAATATTTCTTTCGTATGTTGCATCTTTTAAGAGTCTGATATGTAACCTTTTAAGTCGTGTGTCAATATTTTTATAAACATTTGATCCTAAGCTATCTGTAAATATAAACAATATAAAAGTATAGAAACAAATATTTTGAATCTCTACTGATAAATACTAAAGCATAAAATATGAAACAATTCTACTAAAGCATAAAATATAAAAAATATATTTTATGTTATATACCTACTGGAATTAGATGAACTTCTGCTCAACTTTTGAGGAGACTTCTTAATAATTAAGTCAACATTACACATTTCCTTAATTTTTTCCTTATCAACATTCAAATTTGTTCTTAGTCTTTGCATACGTTCTTGTGCCAAGTTTGTCTTTAAAAACGATTTTCCCTTTTTTTTTCCTAAACACAAAGTTAATTTTACTTTTTTATAATAGTGACATAATAATTATATTTATACAATTGCATTTACTTGAATTTTGGTTACATGATTTCTGAACATTTTGATTCTTATTATGTTGCTCAATATCATGTGCATTTCGAGTAATAATTTCTTGGTGTCCTATATTTTCATCTCTTTTCTCTAATGTTTTTGTCAACTTCTGGTCTGCGGTATTCTGATTTTGTTTTTTAACCATAGCATCTTTTCTTAATGGTTTATTTAACCTAAATGTGTTTGAACTTCTCTGTTTTCCACGAAGCGGTACTTGTAGTATTCCTTCATTATCATTTTTAGCCCAAGAAATTACCGATTTATCATCCTTTAACTTTGAAGGAAAGTTTTTTAAAGAAATATTTGTCTTATTTCCTGCTATCTTTGTATATAAAGCTTCTGACAACAAGGGAGATTTATTTTTGGTATTTATATTTTGCAACGCTTTTTCTCTAACAGCCTTTATTTGTGGAGTCTCGATAATTTTATGATTGACATCTTGATTAGATGTTTCCTTTTTCTTAGCATTATGTTTAGATATCATTGTTTTGCAATGTTTCTTTTCTTGATGTTTTATTGAAGAAGTCTATAAAAATTTTAGAGAATTAAAAGACTTTTTAAAAATTAAAATGAAGACATCTAAAGAAGAAATTTGATGATATCATTTCATGAGATGCTGCATGATTTCAATTTGATGTTTAGTTTATATCATTCAATTAGGCCACTACTTATACAATAGATATTCTTGTTTAATTTACAAGATTAAACAAAGATACCGATTGTACAGGTAGCAGCCTAAACATATTATAGTGTAAACTAGGCCAGTGTCTAAGGCTTTCATTCCGGAAAAATATTGCATATGAAAATTCTATAGCATATTATGAAAATCATGGATTTTTGTATGCAATATAATTCAAAAATAAAATTCCTGATATTGAGAGTTGAATTTTCGAGCACCAGCATAAAAAAGCATCTTAACATGTTCAACAGATTACAGCAGAAAATAAATTATGGAGAGAAAAATACCCAGATGTTATTCAATGGTGGAATCCACGAAGATTGATTCGTTTTCACATTGAAGTAATATATTCTGTCCGGATGACTTTTAGAGTTGACAATAATCCAATCCTTCGGTAATTTATGCTTTAACATGTTGAAAAAATGTGTATCAAGAAATTTAATGAGTCCGTACTAATCAATCATCCTTCAACGATCGGGAGAAATGAATAAATCCTTACTTTCCTTCTTGCTAGCGATAAGCGACCCTCAGCTGCCCTCACCTCAACCAAACTGCGGAAAAACAAAAGTATGTTCAGAAAGTCATAAGGTCTGTTTTCTGTGGAAATAGTGTAACTTTTGGAACTTAAAGTGAGAAAGATATATGTTTGATATTTGTTTAAAGCGAGTTCGAGAAAGAGAGTTCTAGAACAATCTAGTGTAGGAACAGAAAACAGATTAATAAGGTGCATCCAAAAGCACGACCGAACGTTCAGTGAGCTCTTGTACCTGTTTGGTCTATATTTTTAGATCTAATAGAATATGCCAATTAGAGGGCTCACTGAGCGCTTAGAGAGCAATCGTGCTTCTAGATCAGAGAGCCTCACAGGGAGAGAGTGACAATTGCATCACGTGAATGCCCACGTCCAATCAAGATAGAGGTCACCTGATCAGTTTTTCCAATCTCTTCTATGCTTATGGAGCTTTGATACCCATTTCACAATATGTACTTATATTGTGCCCATGCCCAATCAGAGGAGACAGATCATGTGAAGCAATTTGCCATTCTCTCCCTGTGAGGCTTTCTAGGCCTCGTGATAGATTTTCAGTACAGCAATCAATTTTGGAACATAGCTCATATTCCTATTTAGTTGCCCTTAGGGGCTTCGCACAATAAAAGAAACAGAGAATAAGAATTTCAACCTATCAGAAACTGTGTATTCCACAATACATATTATTTTTGATAGGTTGAAATGCATAGGCCGGTATTCATAGCCGATTCTTATTTTAAGATCGTCTAAGTAATGTCTTAAGTTGCTAATACGGCCCTCTGATTGGCTTATAGCATCTTAAGACTATGCTTAAGACGACCTCAAATATAAGAATTAACTATGAACTTATTACTGGCCTTATTCTCTGTTCTCTGTTCTTTTTTATTGTGCGGAGCCCCTACAGCTAAATCCCGGGCATGGCCGCTCTCAGGCTTCTCTCTGATCGCAGTCCAAGCCACACTCTAGAAACTAGACTTTAAGATTCTACATGTATATCAGCCTTTATTTTTTTCGATCAATGAAAACGGTCATTAACTAATGGATTCTCAATTTCGCAGTGACGTGTGACGTGTTTTCAATTTTCTGTCATTTTGATACGTACTAGGTTATTGAAAATACCGAGATTTATTTACTTTGTTGCTAAATCATGACGTCCATCAGCGAAGTTGATGCGGTGCCTAATAAATCGAAAAAACCATCGGGTGAGCATTTCAATTATCATTAAAAAGTCGGAAAACGAACCAAATGATCTTGCTAATTTAATCGATGAACTTTTTTGCTGATAAATCTTCAACGATCGTGCATTTTTCTCGACGATTGATGATATCGAATTAATTTTGTAGATTGTTGAGATAATTTTGAGTATAATTTTACACATTTTCCCGAATTGTTCAAATAACATATAAATAATTTTAAAATTTAATTATCTCGTTATTTCTGCGAAAATTAAGTAAAATTGGTCTGATCTTTTGTATATTTTGGAAGCCAAGAATTAGAAAGGGAACCAATTGCATAATCGGGGTATTAATCAGTATCAAATCTAATATTTATGAAAATACATAATCCTATACATACTATTTTATTTACAAATTGCTGATAGTTAAGGCAATAAATATTTATCAAACAAATCTAGGTATCTTATTATAAAAAGTAATTTTTGAGGTGATTGTGCTAAACTGTATAATTACGAAAGCAATATGAAAGATAACAGAGATAACGTAAGAATGAATCTGTAGAAGATCTTTGCTCTGAATAATTTTGTTACCCTTATTAAGAAAAAAAAAAATCTGTAATATATAATGTCAGTAAAAACAATCAAAGGAAGAAACAAAAAATATATCTCAAATGTAATTGATATTTTTTGAAATACTTGTATTTGTAATACATGTTATCTAATTTAACTGTACGCAGATAGTGCATTTAAGCAACAACGATTACCAGCCTGGCAACCAATACTCACAGCTGGTACAGTTCTACCAACGTTCTTTGTGATAGGAGTTGCATTTATACCAGTTGGCATAGGATTACTTTATTTTTCTGATGAAGTTAAGGAACATATTATAGATTATACTAACTGCAACTCCACCAATATTACCAGAGATGATGGGTTGCCTAAGAAGTGTGCAGATGTAATTGCAGAATGTAATAATTGCTCATGCACATGTGAAATAAATTTCGAGCTAACTTCAGAATTTGCTGGCAAAGTTTACATGTATTATGGCCTGACAAACTTCTATCAAAATCATCGTAGATATGTAAAATCTCGAGATGACAATCAACTGTTAGGACAGTTGCATGAGATTGTTTCGAGTGATTGTGAACCATTTGCCTATGATAAAATAAACGACAAAGATACAGCCATTGCTCCATGTGGTGCTATTGCAAATTCGCTTTTTAGCGATGAGTTGACACTATATTCTGCAAAACATGGTGGACAAGTACCATTATTAAGAACTGGTATAGCTTGGCCATCCGATAAAAATATCAAATTCAGGAATCCAGAGGGTAATTTGAAAGAAGTATTCAAGAATTTTGCTAAGCCTAAGAACTGGACTAAACACATTTGGGATTTGGATCCCATTAATGAAGAAAACAATGGTTTTCAAAACGAGGATTTAATTGTATGGATGAGAACTGCCGCATTACCCACTTTCAGAAAACTCTATCGTAGGATTGACCATTCTCAAGATGGCTTTAAGAGCGGTCTAGTTCAAGGAAACTACACTCTTAAAGTTGTTTATTGTAAGTAATGTAAACAAATCGAATTATAAAAATAATCTAATAATTAAAATAATGAAATAAAATTACAGCTGCTTGGAAATTGTAAAATAAAAAATTGAAGATGTCTATATATTTTATTTAAACATGAGAGAAATTAGATAATGTTTTGAATATTTTTTTCAGCATTTTCAGTATCCTCCTTCTATGGAAAGAAAAAGATGATTTTAAGCACAACTTCACTTTTGGGAGGAAAGAATCCTTTCCTTGGCATTGCTTACATTGTTGTAGGGAGTTTGTGCTTATTGCTGGGCATAGGATTACTCATTATACATATTAAATGTTCCAAGAGGTAAATAAATATATTCATATATATCCCTTTCACTTCCATCTACAATCTCTAAAAACAACATATAAGACATCCGATTTAATAACGTCCTTTATGTGGTGAAGGAACATCTACACGAATTACTGAACATAGTCATAAAAAAACTAACAATAAGATATATTATATGTTAACATCTTTAATGTTCACAAATGTATTTAAATTTTGTGCAATATTAAACATGCACAATTTAACATCAATTTCAGTCCAATATAATCACTTGTGATTGACATAATAAACAATCTCTCAAGTTAGATCAACACAGAGACACATATTTCTTTTTTTTTTTCATAACATGAGTTGATAATATAATATTTGATATATGTTATACAGCAAACTAATGTAAAGACGACTACAAGAAATTATTCTTAGGGCACCCATGTATGTCTTGTAAGTGTTTGTGATATTGTGTTATGTCTATCCTTAATAATTGACATGTAAAAGTTGTCTTGATAAAATATGACCAATCGGGCAATGTTTCTTATTATAATTCCATACCAAAAAATTTGTAAAATATTTTACTAATTTTACTGAAAAAAGAAAATTAATAATTAGCTCGACTAGTCATATTTCGTGTATTGTATGCTTTGCCAGAATGTGTGTGCATTTTTTGCTATATTTTTCAGAAATGAATAGGATATTTGTTTTTAAAATGCTATTACATGCATTTTTTTTATATTAAACGGCAGGAATAATTTTAATTTATAAACAGCACTATATTGTTTTATTATTTATATAAAGTGTGCAATATAATTATATAAATAATGAACAATAAAAGAACAAAATAATTCCATATAATTGTAGATGTTTAAAAGTAATGATACATATGTGAAACTGAGAAGTTATAATGAACTTTTGATCTAGTAATTTCATTTTTCGCGTCTTAAATATATTTAGTCGTATGCACATTTTAAAATCGAATTTAAAGATACATGCACTTGTCTGTGTTTTTGTGTATTGGCACAAAATTAAGCAAAAGATACTTTATAATATCCTCAAAAAATCAGCAAAATTATTACAAAAATTTCTTGTCAGTAAGACGTGAATTAAATTCGATTCAAATTTAATATATGTATATAATATTATATAATATAAAACATAAAAAGCATGTCGCATGTTCTGAAAAAAAGCATTTATTTAAAATCTACAATGCGTTTATTTCTAATTTACACGTGTCATTACATTTCGAAGCATTTTGATTTCCCCTGTGCTTTTATATTATTGTTGAGTTTTATTTTATTAGCAAACCGAAAAATCGCGTACAAATTTTCTTTTGCAATCATCACATACAAATATCTTTTTTTTAGCTCCGCCGATATGATCGATGTGACTCCATCTACAGAATATCATTAGGAATGATTCGTTTACTTAAAATGAACGTGATTTCATCAGTATATATAAGTTATTGATTATCGTAGAACAAGTGAATTTTTTATATTTAACATTGAATTTCGTTTGTCATAAACGGATAAATACGGTAAAGCAACAAACTAATCAAAAATTTCTTATTTAAGAAATAATTATCTTTTAAAGTTTTTAACCATATTTTAGTATCGTTATATATACATATAACATATATGATAGAATTTTCGAAACTTGAATCATATATTCTTGAAATTATATTTTTATTTGGAATTCTATTGTAAATTTTAAATAATTATTTGAAATTTAATTGTCAAACGAATACCTATTGCTGTTAAAATATTTAATTTAGTTATGAATATATTCTATTATAGAATATTGTATATCAGCAAAGTGAACAAAAGTATTATGTAAATGATTATACATTGCTAAAACCAAATGTTTATTAAAATGTTATTCCATTTATAGATAGTCAATTTTTGTAATATATTCTTTTGGATTAAGAAATGTATTTTCATGCATTTGTTGATGCACTTATCTTACATTTATGTTGATGTAGAACTAAACTTTTATTTTAAGTCTTGAAATTATAATACAAAGATGTAAAATTTAAACATAAATTAAGCACACATTTCCTCGCAGAGATTTCATACGATACAACAGTCGCAAAGTTACCTACTTTTTTGTGGAGTTTTATTTGCTTAACATGGACGTGCCGATGCAAAAATAGTTTTAACGTGATTCATTCGATTATAGAGAAAAATAAATATCTTCAAAATGAAGCAGAATCTTTTTCAAACTGTTGTATTTTATGAAGAAAATCATTACTAATATTATTGAAAATTAATATTATAAATTTATGTATAAATTACAATTATAGATTCTATAAACTTATGTCTATTGCGAACTTGTAATTACTAGATGTCATGAAAGTATGAGATTTATAGCAAAAGTAGTATATTATTTTCTTAAAAAGTAATTGCGTTAAAATAGTGATTTGTATACGTATATATAATATATATATATATGTTATGTTTTCAGTAATGTGTTTCTTTTAAATCTGATTTATGAAAATGACTGATTAAAAATAATTATTAATCAACCAATAATGTCTTGTGTATAATGATTCATAAAAGTATTTAAATGGCGATGTATCTTCAAATGAAATGACAGCGTTTGAATATTGATTCTGAGTCATTATGTGATTTACATAAATATTTATTAATCTCTCGATAAACAGTGCCCTCAGGATATTTCTTCTGAGTGCAATTTTAAGTTATTGTGCCTTAACGATATATATATATATATATATATACACATATATATATATATATATACACACATATATATATATGTGTATAATGAATGAAATATTTCAAAGATGTATCGTCATTACTTTGTAACAGTACACAGAAACAAATTGCTGAGATCAGATTGCAATATAAACTACTTATAAAATCAATCTAGTCTACTGTAAACATAATAATGAATAAAGAGAAACGATTAAAAGATTCAAAAATAATATTCTCTTCATTTGTCTCTGTAAGAAAAAAATAATTTTTTCTAACTATGTTTAAGATGTAAGAAGACAACTATTAGAAATTTGCTACTAATCAGAAATTTGCCCCAAATTATATTCAGCTGTCACGCAATATTACACCTGTCTTCTTATATTTATTGTACATCATTCTATCTTTATTATTTTATCATTTTATTAAAAAACGGTAAAGATAGAATAATGCATAATGCTGATTCCTTGAATAGCCTATGTATTATAGTTATTCGACATATTGGCTAATTGTAAATTCATCCGAATAAATTAAAGTTTCTGCCTTGCGAAACGTAAGTACGATTAGGATTATTCGGAATAGAAATTTACGAATGCGACGCTCGTGCGCGGGCGCGGCGGACGGAGCGGAAATATTTTCGAGCGCCATCTTGCCCCGCAATCGTACAATTCGTCAGTGCCTGTGAATGGACTTGTCATAAGTGTCTTACTTATTATTTCGCCTCTCTGTCCCTGTTCCCCGTCTTGCTCTCGAGAGCTCCGCGTTTCCAAATTCTCGGGTGATATCCATCCGCGCGCACGAGGTAAGTACGAATATCTTACCACCGTCGTCGTCATCGTCGTCGTCGTCACCGTCATCATCGTTATCATCGTGATCATCATCATCATCATTCGGACGGATAGACGCGATGGGGTTTCACGAATATCTTGCGCGACGATCACGGACGTTGTCTATCCTTCGGAAAAACGGGAGCCGCGCCCGTCGCCTCCCCCAAGCTCGATCTCGATCGTAACGGCAATACCTCGTAAGATTGACGTGTCACGTACATATACATCTATTTGCGCGACGAGGATCTCTCGGTGGGCGGGTACGGATTACGATACGCGCGATAGCGCGCTCGCCCGTCGCCCGTCGCCCGTCGCCGCTCCGCCAGTCACGGCTGGAGCGGAACGGCGCGCGTCTGTTCGCTTCTTTCATCCTTTCTTTTCACCGTACCATCATCGTCTTCCTCCCGTTGCGTCGTGTCATGTTCTGAAGTGCGAGGGTGTGCGCGCACGAGCGAGCGAGCGAGGAGGTCGACCGCGGAGCTTCGACGTGGAGCGTTCACCCGAAGGAGACACCCGCGCGCCAAGATGGAATTGACCTCTGGATTTAACCGATTTAGGCGATTTAGCAGCAATTGTATACAATAGCAATAATTTCCTGCCTGCGCTCCTTCCCCTGTCATCCCTCCTTCACACGCGCCGTGTTTTTTACGCTAAGCGTTGACACATTAACGCACGTTAACCATCAGGGTCTCGATAATGGGCTCGAGATAACGTAAACGCGCAAGTATCTCAATTTTCGAACGTGACGCCTTGAAATGATAATTCCCCCACGTGATCGTTTTGCAAGGTTTCTCAAACCGCAGACTGTTTATCGCTCGTCGCTATTTTCCAATTCCGACGTAACTATCGCAGTCTCAACACGTGTGAGCTTAGTACACGGGAAATGGAAAGTCAATTGAGTGGTGCAACAAGACAGAGGGGACAATGATCAATACTTTCACGGTCAATTATATGTATAATACTGTTAATATGTCAGAAGGAAGCCTTACAAAGGATCTTAGCTCGCGCTGTAGTTTCGCGTAATAGATAACGCTTCTAGCTCTTTGCTCTGGCTGTGTTTATACTCTTGACTTTTTGCAAACTGCAGTTGTGAGTGATGATTAGCACAGTCATGCTGAGTAGCTCAAGAAGAAGACGTTAGTGGGAGCAGGCAGGCTTATGTGTGATTATTAGAGATAGAATATTTAAATAACAATGTCGATATCTCTCATGTGTTGAACAAATGTAACGAATGCCATTGAAGATCTTAAATCATCAATTCAGAAGGTCTAATCTACAACGTGCTTTTTGCCTTCCTGTTTCTCGCTTTTTATCTTATTTCTTCGTTTCCTATTTTTCGCCCGAGATGAAAGTTGACGAACTTCAGAAGAGATGAGAAACACGATTGTCAGTAAAACGCAAAAAGGAAAAACAAGCAAATGATAAAAAATAAGAAACAGGAAGCAAAAAGCACATTTTAGATTGGGCTTAATGGCATTGATGAACTTCTCTAAAATCCTCAAACTTAAAAATCTCGAGGCATTATTAATTCGAGCGATACTTGGATACAAAGACAATCTCATTCATTTTTTCGCATATTAATTTAATGTTAGATGAATTGATAACATTGCTCCAAGAATAAAATCATATTGCTATGATAAGATAAGCAGAGAATACAACAGAAACATGCCGCGAATGATAAAGTTCTCGTTTTTTTTTTACAGAAGAGCAGTACAATTCATTAAAGGAAGGTGCACATCTTTACCTCCATCAGTGTAAGTGATTTCTTTCCACAAACTTTTTGCATGTGCTCTATCATCTGTAAAAAGGGTAGTCTTAACGATAGATTTCTCTATAGTTCGTACTTTTTAAGAACTTAAACTATAGTTTTTACTTTTCTCATTTTAGCGATTTGCTTGTCGAAAACTTATGAGGATAGGTGCATACAATGAGTATCTGGTTTTTATAAAATCGCGATATCACGGATCTTCAAGATCTTTTTGAAACAATGATAGCCTATATACAAGTAGAACAATAAGTCACGATAACGTCAAAATGACATTAAAATAAATCAGAAATGATAATTTTAATGATCATTTTGGAGTTATTTTGACATCATTTTGATATCATAATGACTTGTTGTTCTGCTTGAGTAGTCTTTAAACGTATACGTTGAATTTAAATCAATATTTGACTGTATGTGCGTGTAGATATGAAATTGTCCTTTATCTTTCTCTGTGAGAAACAAGATTTCAAACAATTTTCGTATAATAGCGATACTTTTTACGAAACATATCAATCACGTTATTATACATAACTTAAAAAAAAAAGTATTATGAGTTGTGCCTATTAAAACCAATATTTTTTTCTTTTTTTTATTTAATTACTGTTATTGCTAAAAGTATAATCTTTTGCCATATTAGGAATTTGTAAACGTATTGGACATAGGTATGTGCATCGCTATTACCTTTTTTTTTTCATGTGCACAATCTTATAGAATTCGTTTAAATTTTTTGATAAAAAATTTCATGTAATATTCATTTGCATAATACCATTATTTAACAGATTAATGTGTCATTATCATCCATATGCAGAATGATGAATCATACATTTAAGGTGTGATAAAATTTCTCTTATTTATCGTATCATCTGATAGTCTAGGCTTTTATTGTGATTCGGACTATTCGGAAGTTTTCTATATTTCTGGGCAAAACCTAGAACTTCATCAACAACGTCAGCGATATTTCATTAGTCAAGAATGGCGATGCAGAAGGTAAATGCCAATAATGTTCACGATTGTTGAATTAACAACTGTGCTCACTCATGATAACGTGATAATTTGATGTCAAAGCATATTATTAGAAGATTTCTGTGTGTTTTCACAATAAATCATATCTATCAATCTTTGTAAAGATAATCTGATATTTTTTACAAGAAGTTATTGTGTTATGTGTGTTACATATGTATTCAGATTATTTTTATTTTCCAATTTTTGTTGTAATGCACCTTTATTAGTTTGCAATGTTTACTAGCAAAACGCGATAATAAGTAAAACTGATAATGACAAATGAACATTATGCAAGTCAGTATTACATTAAATATTGTATAAATATGATATTTAAATTTGTATTGAAATTTAATACTACATTCCATATAACTATAAATAACACTCATCTCAAAGATAAGATACGGAAAAAGAAAGACGGACAGTATAAATCATAAATTTATATAGGCACATCTCAAAACAAACATGTTTTCATATGATATTAAAATATATATATAGGTATTCTTTATTCTTAGAGCTTAATAACTTTTTATATTTATTATGTTTATATTTATTATATTTTATTCTTTATATTTATGTTTTATTGTTTAGTGTCTTAAAACTCAGTGTCACTTAGTGTCTTAAAACAATAACAATTCATATATATATAAAATGCGTAAGCATATTTTTACATATTTTTGATAATTAATCAGGTAAATTATGCTAAAGTATAGATCTTAAAATAAAATTATGGTAAATATAAATTGCATTTTAATATGCTGTATATAATAATCTTTTTTTGCAACTTGGGTTTTTTTTTATTTGCCTGTTACAATTTGATTAATGTGCATGCCTTGGTTTTAGTTTTAAAATTTCTGTAAATTAATTTATATTTTAATAATTTGGTGCTAATTTGAATAATTTGGTGCTATATTACTTGGTTTGTAATATTTAAAGTAATGCATACTTATAATTGCATGGCTTTCATGTAAACAAAATACCCATATTTATTATCAGATGCTACTTGCGTCATAATTGACCTGCTATTTTTATATTATAGTAATTATAGACCATGTACATTAAAGATTAAACGATCAAGGTTGAAGAATTTATAGGTCTTTGAAAGATTATATATGTATAAGAGTCTTCATAATAAATCCTGTAAATAAAATTATTTGTACTAGATCAATATATGATCGTTCCCTTTTATATTGGAATTAATGGGATAATAAATATGGGTCTCTAAAATCAAGATACATAATACTACAATTGAGTAACATATAGCGATAATATCTTTTAGATGAGAAGACAAGGGCAAGACGTCATGCAGGTGAATCTAGCAGGTATTAGGCGAGATATTATGAATCTTGCCCATAACTACAGCAATGCCCAGGTGATTATTTAAATCTTTTTGTATTACTTGATGTTATTTTTCCCCATTAATATGTAAAAATAATAGTAGAAAATCTAAAAATATTATGTTAAATGGAGAGAAAAATGAATAAAATTAAATATGTAAGAATTTTGAATATCAGTATGAGATAATTGCTATTTTTTTCTACAGAAAGCTGTACGAAAAGCTACTAGCAATGATCCTTGGGGTCCAAGTAGTACACTTATGGCAGAAATTGCCGATTTAACATACAATGTCGTAGCATTTACGGAAATTATGCAAATGTTATGGAAAAGATTGAATGATCATGGAAAAAACTGGCGACATGTATACAAAGCCTTAGTTCTCTTAGAATATCTTATCAAAACAGGAAGTGAAAAGGTAGCGCAACAGTGCAAAGAAAATATTTTTGCCATCCAAACCTTAAAAGGTAACAAACGTAAAATTTCATTAGAGTTTTACTTTATAATATAAAATTTTATAAAATCAAATATTCATATATATGATATATTATTGACTTTATTTAAGAGATTTCCATAAATTTTTTAACACAGTCCTATTATATTTTTGTATAGATTTTCAATACATGGATGGGCATAAAGATCAAGGAATTAATGTGCGAGAAAAAGCAAAACAATTAGTGGCCTTATTAAAAGATGATGAGAGATTGAGAAATGAGCGGGCTAGAGCATTGAAGGCAAAAGAGAGATTTGCACAGTCGGTTAGTGGTTTTGGAAGTGATGGTCTGGACACAATGTCACCTGTTAGTAGTGATGTAAGTAGCGTGTTATAAATCAATGATTAAAAACTGCGCTTGCATCTGGTTTCGGCTCTCACGCGCGCTGTAAATTTCATTATTCTTCTGTGAGAAATGAATGATAAAGACAGAATGAAATTTATAGTATGTGAGCGCCGAGAACTGAACAGAATCTGTAACATTTCTCGGTCGACCTTCATTTACTCTTGCAAAAACTAAATTTATTATCATGTTTCAGTTTCAAGATTGGGAACCTTGTCATTTATCCGAATCAGCGGCTAGACGTACAAGTAAGTTCATCTTTATAATATAAGCGGTTTTTTTTTAAGCTTCTTTTGGTCAAGATCTTTCAAGTCAAGATTACTTCAACTAGGACAAGATAATTTTTACACGTTTGTAAATCCTCTTATCATATCTCGTTTATTTTTCACGTGTATATCAGATGCAAACATTAATTACTTTACATAAGAATTAACATAATAAATATATTTTCCAGCGGAATTGGAAGCTGCAAGACCGCAAACGGTAGGAGAGGAAGAATTACAACTGCAGCTGGCCTTGGCTATGTCTAGAGAAGAAGCAGAACAAGAAGAACAAAGAAGACGCAGCGATGATGTCAGATTGCAGTTAGCCCTCAGTCAAAGTCAGCAAGATTTTAAGTAAGTAATCAACAGAATCTAATGTAATCTAGTAACGTGATATGGAAAAAAATGTTTGACCTTGCATTTACGGGGCAATGCTATGTGAATTTCAGAACTCCGCAATCCGAAAAGCAAAGTCACATGTTGGATTTACTCGATGTAAATTTAGGAGAAGCAAGCGGTTCTTCAGTACAAACTGATCCTTGGGGTATCCCGATAACAGCACCACCGCCTAGACCACAGGTATTTACTAATTGTGTCGTTGACTTCATTTTCGTTCTTTGCATGATAACACAAAATCGTTTTTGCATGATGCACTACAGTCTTTGGATTTATCTGATTTTCATATATATAAGGTATGTCTGATGAATGTTAGAGGACATTAAATCTTTAGGAGAATGTATAGGCGTGGAATAACATTTTGCTGGAGTGGTTAACAAAATGATGGAAGAATAATAGCATTCTCGTTTTACAGCCACAGAATGATCCATGGAGTGTTCCAACAACAAGTACCACATCACCCGCGATAGACCCGTGGACGCCTGTTCCTCCACAAAGACCAAGTGAGTGTATTATATATATACGCAGCAATATATTCTTTACATGTGATTGCATATTTATTTAATCCCTACATTTATATATTCTTTTTGCATGTTCTTACGTCTTTGATGATTTCCGATAATTCTCAGGATCCTCAGGTATAATTAATCAGTTAATTTTTTCACCATTTTTCTTATAAATGATTAAAGCACTATATTTGGATCCTTATCGAAAATGTTTAGTTTATATTTTTATTGTAATATTTAATAAAAGCAGTGTTCTAAGTTTTTCTGAACTTTTATTACAATATTTGATAAATCATTTGCTAGAAATTACTCAAATTACAATTTAATTATAGCTGCCACTATCGATCCATGGCGTGCACCTGCTCCATCTCCTGCTACAGTCGTATCTCCACCTCGTACCAACGATCCTTGGTCACCAGTTCCATCTACTACCACTACTGAATCGGAAACGAATAAGCAGGTAGACTTATTCTTCAAAATTCATCGAGTTATCAATGTTTATAATAATATATATGTTTATAATAATATATTGATCTGAAATTTTTTTGGTACAGGGAGCTCAAGATGGCGCAACATCTCCATCACCATCTTTCAACAATTCAAACTTGACACAAAACATTGGCTTCGCGATATCGTCGCCTCAAAATATAGGTTTCAATTTGCCACCAGTATCTTCAGCCGCTACTACCTTCAGTACTAGCAATGGTTTCAACGGCACAGGGCCAGGCTTCAATAACTTTCCTACTCAAAACAATGGCGCTGCAACGAGTCCCCTCAGCGATTTAGACGAATTTGATGTGATTACTAACAGGGGAAAACTCGGAGCAAGTCCGCAGACGGTGAACAACGGTACTTAAGTTATACAAAATTTTTCTGTAAAACATTAACACAGCATTAATGTGTGCTGAAATTATGTAATAAAGTTATATGATTTTTAAATAGGTGGTACATCATCAGGAGGAGATCCTTTCGATCTAGGTGGCATGGCTGAAACTCTTCCTGCCAGCACCGGTGCTGTGAAAAAGACACCACAATCCTTTTTAGGAGAAAACTCTGCACTTGTTAATTTAGATAATCTTGTCAGCGCTACGGCGATTAAGCCATCAGCTCCTGCGCCAGCGGGTAAGTTTTCATTTGTAGCTAGAAGGTATAAAAATCGAGAAAGAGAAGTCCAGTATTCGAAATATCTTTCGTTGATATATATTATTTGAATATAACTCCTATTATATGATAATTCATAAAGATCAAGTGTAATGAATGTAATATTCAGCAAAAAATCATTTAAATATCATGAAATAAAAAAGATATATTTTACGCTATAACATTTTATGTCTACAAAATAGCGTTTCATTGGAAATAAGTTCGTGAGTATGAATAATATGATTAAAAATATGGCATGAATGAATGCATGATAACTATTATGTGCAGTGTAATGCTTATTACAATGATGTCTTTCATGTTATGTCAAGAATATATTATTTTTTTATTTAAGAGTACTGTGATTTGAATCTTTCTTCGAATATATATCTTACGATATTCTAATAGAATACGTAGATTTTCTTTTCTTTTCTAAATAGGTCATTCTTTTTAAATATTCTTAATTTTATCTCTTCTCTCCCCTCCCCCCCCTCTCTCTCTCTCTCTCTCTCTCTCTCTCTCTCTCTCTCTCTCTTGTAATATGCATTTGTTTATGTGGAATGAATTAACAAATGTCAAATTATATATCGAACAATTAAAGAATTGAAAGTCCAAATCAATATCTTGAAAGAACAACCAATCTTATCAAATAAAAAATAAGAAATTTATATTATATGTATAGAGTGTCCTGCAATTTTTGACAAAACGCTTTTTTATAAATATAGTGGATTAAACTGAATCGAAAAGTTCTCTATCATTTTGCAATTTTCGAAATAGTTCACAAGATATTAATTTATGAAAATAGCCAAATTCGCCCGGTCTGAATGCCAAATGTAAGTGGGCGGCGAGATAAGACAGCCCAATAAGGTGCGCGTTTGTCGTCACTATATAAGGCACGTTAATACTAATGTCGCTTGTAAACAATGTACCTAATGACGAAGAACGTGCATCTCTCAGGACGGTCTTATTTCGCTGCGCACATGATGAAATAATACGGTGAAGCACTCCCGTAGATGCGCAGTAGGAGAAATAAATTTGGATAATATTTGATCAGCTGTTTCAGTATAACCAGCGCTATTATACATAGAAAAATGCATATTGGGGCACATTTGAATGGTTATTTTCACTGGTTATTGTTACTGCCATTATGCGCAATATATTCATTTTATTAATTCCATTATGACCGTGCACTTGCATTTGGCGGTAGGCCGGGCGAATTTGGCTACTTTCATAAATTAATATCTCGTTAACATTGCGAAAATTGCAAAATGGTAGAGGATTTTTCGACTCAGTTTAGTCCGTTCTATCTAGACAAGAGCGTTTTATCAATAATTGCGGTATACCCTGTATATATAAAAATGCCTCTTTTTATTTCCAGATCAAAAAATAACATCTATTTTAGGTTTTTAAGATATTTATTTATCTTGGACATCATATATTCAAAAGCGTTTAAATGATTGAGCTATCTTCGTGAGCAACAAGAGTTATTTTATACTAACAAACGAACGATTTTACAGCAACCATCTCATATTCAGCAAATCCATTTGCAACTGTGACGCCACCACCCCGTCCTACAATCAATCAGATTCGACAGGATCCATGGACAGCGAATACAACTACGGCTAATCCGTTCCTCTCGTAGCCTGATCGATCAATCGAAAACTTTGTAATTACTGCGTCCCTCGAAACGTGATCTGCAGTTCTACATGTACTATTACGGTATAGATTTCGGTTTACGGTAAAAAGAGATATGATTTTACTTATAGCAATTATGAGCAGGGACAGATGTGAATAAGACCAATAAGAAGGCGGAGGAAACATCCCCATCAATGAAATTTGATTAATAATTTAAAACGTTACTTTTTGATAAACTATATTACAGTGCACTTATGGAAAAGCTCATTGGAAAAGTCTCTTTTTTGCTTCTTTTTCTTTTAAATTTCCCTTTGCATGTATTACTCACTTCTTAAACTTTATTGTGGAATAATCACCTAAATAATTAACTAGTAGAAGCATGGCATATTGGTAATTAAGTGATGGTTGGATGGTTAAAAGGTACAACATAATAATACAAATCATGTTTTAACTTTGAACGCTTAAGTAATCCCAAGTACGACTAGATTTTATATACACTTCTTTCTCTATATGATCTATTTTCTATGTATAAATCAATTCAGGGAAAGATTGCTCAGCAATATCGCTTCACTGCTGGGGAAGAATGTAAAGTTATTGCTGAGAAAGAATGTAAAGCTGATAGTTTGAGATCAGTTTATGCGTTTTTGTATACACGCGTTTTCTATAGTAAAAAAAAAAGGGAAAAATGAGATCGTGAGACTGTAATCATGATTTGCAAAAGCATTATAAGTCTGTTTTTTATAACTGAACTAGTGTACACTTTTGGAAAAGTGAAATAGGTATATGTTTAATATTTGGCTAAAGTGAGAAAAAAATTCTAGTGCAGGAATAAAAAACAGACCCATTGTAACGAACAGAGTTCCGTTCACCGTTATACGCTTAAGATGTGTCGATTATGGTCTGTAAAAAAAATTCGATGTTGTGGCTTGCTTTCTAATACAGAGAATCCGTAATACGGGCAGCTACTGTGTTGCAAAGTGTACACGAATTTCTTATATAGCTATATAGCCAGTCATTCACGAATGACGTACTGCGACCTATGGCACACCAAGGCACTTCTAAATGAAAATGCAACTGTGAAAGTAGCATCCACCAAACGATACGAACATTAAGAAAATAATCCGTATTGTTTTTGCTATCCGGATTTCTGGTTTTAATTGACTATGTGCATGTTCATGCAGATTTGGTATAGCTGAAGAATCAAACTCAAGAGTGATAAGAATTGTCTCTATCGCATTCGAAAATCATCGATATTTAAATCGAAATAACAGTGTTATTTCTAATCCACTTTCAATTTAACATTTGCGTCGACGTCCAAAGTTATGTAAGAGCTCAATCGCTCGTAGGATAAATTTATAACAAGTCTACAAGAGAGGTTTTGCCTACCCATGTTTTTTAAATTTGCATGACAAAAACATGAATCAAGATTTTTTTTAACATACAAGACAAATACAGGCGAATCTTTTTATTTATAAGAAATGTACATATATTAAAGCACATTGTTCCCCATTTGTCAAGCGTTTATAGTGTTATTATACAAGAAATTTTTTGTGGACATTTGAAATTGTACTTGTCAATCATATTCAAAAAAATTTGCTGAGTTATTTTTTCACTCTTGTTAAATATACACGCGCGCGCGCTTACTATA